AAATTGTTTCGTTCAAAGAATGTAGGACAAATGTTCTTAGTTCATGCTCTCTTATACATTATTTCAGCTACAAGCCATTATCTTAATGTTTGGGCTGTGCTCTTTTTGCAGATATTATAAATGCTTCATATAACTACACTGATATTTACTCTACTTATGAAGAAAGAAATAGAAATAAAGCTTCACCAGCTCCCAGGATCACTGACACCAGGCACAGGATGCCAGTGACACACACGAGCAGCTCTGCACGTTACTCGGCTCACTCCACACAGGCTGGATCTGGTGGAAGAACCTTTGGAAGAGATGTACTTGGTTCCACTTATCGCCCTTCAACAACTGTTACAAAGGATGAAAGGATTGTAACAGACCACAAGGAAATGAGAACATTCACTCCTGCCTATAGTAGCTGGAAAAGCACTGAAATGCAGCAAAAGACAGTTCCAGAAAGAAAGAAAACAGAAGTTACAACTTCATCCACAGTATCTTTTTCCAAAGAATCAGCACGTGCTGAAAGATCAGACAAGAGTCACAAGTCTGATGCTGAAGGTACAAGAACAAAACCAAACCTCACTAGATTTCCAGCTTATGAGCTGATTACCAATGCAAAACCATCTAGATATGAAGAAACTATAACTGAAACTCGGACCACACTGAAAGAAAGAAGAGGAGGCAGCAAACCAACTGAAGAGAAAACATCTCTGCTGAAAGAAAAAGATAAGCTGGAGAAACAAACAAAGGATGAGAAAAAGCAAACAGATGAGAAAACTCTTATAGAAGATAGAAGTGCTGATTTTGGAAGGAAGACTGAGCAGAAAACATATATCCGTGAGGAGGTTAACCAGAAATTAACAGGGAGTGATATTTCTAATGCAAGAACTTTGAAAAGTGAATCAACCAAAAGAGGTACAAATGTGACCTCAGAATCAAGAAGCAAAGAGGTCATTGAGATACCCATCAGCATTGAAGGGGCTGCTCCCGACAAAGGATCTCGGAGAAATAAAGATATAAGGGTACAAGGTGTTAAAACTTACTTAGGAAGTGAAACAGATGACTATGTAACTAAATCTGCTGAAACTCACCAAGTGAGGATTTCAGAAGCAGAATCCAGTCTGGAAGAACAAATCAGCGATGGAACTCATCAAATGGGAACTCTGCCAACGGAAAATATAGCAGAGAATATTGTTGCTGACATTCTTAAAACTTTTACACAGTCCTCTAGTTCACAAATGTCAACAGACTCCAAAGTGACCTATTTTAATAAGGAAGAACAGCCAGATGAAGGGAAAATAAAGACCAAGATCACAGTGCAGTCTCAAGTTCAAGAAGACATAGATATTTCTGATGAAGGTGACTTAGGACGTCTCTCAAACCAGGATGTTAGAAAGGTGATTCGAGAGGGTGTTGAGGGAGCTCCTTCCAGAGAGGAGATAGAAGATATAGTACATCACGGCCTGAAAGGAAGTGAGGGCGGAAAGAATGTGTCTGTTAATGTTGAGATTGTAGAGGAAACACTAGATTATGCCACTGATGAGTTTTCAACACCTTTTGAAGTAGAAGAAGTGGAGGACTCGTTCCCTGAGAGAGAGAGACGTTATGGTGAGGAGGAGCAAAACATCACATTGACCTATGAAGATGTTAAGAAGAAGAAACCACGCCATGAGAGCTTCACTCGTGTGGAAGAAGTAACTGAGGAAGATGATTCACCTATTGAACAAAAATATTTTGTATCTGTTCCTGATGATCATCCCATTATTAATGAGAAAGATGATGACTCAGTATATGGGCAAATTCATATCGAAGAAGAATCAACTATTAAATATTCTTGGCAAGATGAATTTTTGCAAGGCACACAGAGTAAGAAAGATGAAGGTGTGAGCTCTCCAGAAGAAACCTACAAAGTGGTAGGGGAGGAAGCAAGTGCTCATATTTTAAAAGAGCATCCTGAAGCTGAAACGTCCCATGTTGAATCCATGGTGATTGAAAAAGAAATTAAAATTCCCCATGAATTTCAGACTTCCATAAAAGGGCTTTTGTCCAAGGAAACGAAGGACCCTAAACATCAATTGAAGGAAGCTTTGGAGCAGTTGGAGGGCAGTCTCCCAGAGAGTGTGAAAGAGGAGCTGTTTGCATTAACAAAAGAAAACAAAGTTGATGCTAGTAACCTAGAATTTGATATCAAAAAAGTTGATCAGAAGGAGGAAGGTGGCTCAGTGACCATCGTTGCTGAAGTCAATCTGTCTCAGACCCTTAATACGGATGAATTCGATGTGGCTCAGCTTGGTGAAGTACTCACGAGTGAGAAGGAAAAGGCAGCATTGCATACCCTGAAAAAAGGGAGCTCAGAGAGAGTTGTTGATGGTAGAAGCAATATAGAAGTAGATGTTTCTTCTCACACTCCTTTGGCTGATCAAGAAATCTATCAGTCATCCACAACGAGGCGGAGTGGTGGCACAGGGTATCATACCACGGAAAGAGTCATCTATGACGGTTCAGTTTTGGAAAGTGCAGATTTTGGAGAAGTCTCTCACTCACCAGAATCAACTGATGAGACCAAGTCCACGAGGCGTATTAGGATTGGCCCAGCAGAAGTTCAGAGGTTTGAGCAGGTCATGTATGAAGGACCTGGTTCTGAAACGCTGGAGCTCAATGCTGCAGAAGATCTTGTTCACACGGAAGGATCATCAGGTTTTAGCCAATCTGTGAAGCATTTTAAACTGGGCCCTAAGGAAATCCAAACCACAGAACAAGTGTTTTATACAGGCCCTATTACTACAGTTGTAGAAGAGATTGATTCTGGGAATCTGTCTCAGAAGATTTCAACAGACTTCAGCAGGTCCACAAGACGTGTCACAGTAGGAGCAAGGCAAGTAACTGAAGACTCTTTTGAAGAGCCTGTATCAGACTCTCTGGCACTCAACAGCTCAGATAACCTTTCTCAGACAGAAGGGTCTGTGGATGTCAGCAGATCAGTAAGGCACTTCAGGTTAGGTCCAAAAGAGGTTCATACTGAGCATGTTATCTTTGAAGGGCCCATCTCCGGTAAAGTGGAGGTCAGTGGCACTAGAGACTTCTCACAGGCAGAAAGTTCAGTCAGACACATTCAGTTGGGTCCCCAAGAGTTTATGACAGCTGAAAAGATCATCTACCAGGGGCCCATCTCTGAGCACACAGAAATCAGTGAACTGGAAGACCAGAGTCTTTCAGGAGGCTCAAGATCTTTCAGGCATGTTAAAATAACTCCTGGAGAAACTCATGCTGAGCAAATCATCTTTACAAGACCCATTTCTGGAACACTGGAAGATCTTTCACAAACAGAAGAGTCATCTGAGAGCAACAGGTCTGTAAAGCATATTAAAGTAGGATCCAAGGAAACATCTTACACTTTTCAAATGGATGTTTCCAATATGGGTGGAATATCTGCAGTAAAAAGTGGAGAACAGCAAGCAGCAATGCTGATGTCCAGTAACCAAGACCCTTCTGTTAGTCACTCACAGGTCAGAGTTGATCAGATTGCAGATGAAAATACAGGAAGTGTCTATGTTCACTCCAGTTTTTCCCAAGACCATGGTGGAAAGGTGATGGAACAGTCGTTTGATAGAACTGTGCAGTTGCAGAGAACGGTCAACCAAGGGTCAGTTGTGTCTGATGAAAAGAAAGTTGCTCTTCTCTATCTGGACCATGAGGAGGAAGATGATGATGAGAATGGAGACTGGTTCTGAAAGGACTTTTCACTGAAGCCTACTTAGCAATTTGTTTATACATATTTTTATTCTCCTTTTTTTTTTTAAGAGAAAAAAAGGGATGGGGAAACACTCAGACTATTTAGGTGATAATAGTGGACTGAGAAGTCTTGAATCTAGGCCTCTATTCAGCACACTTTTTATTTTATTGGAAACCTTTTTTTTTTTGGAGAGATCATGCTATTATTATTTTTTTTCCTCAGAGATCTCTGTCTCATATTTTGAGATTTTTCCACCCATAGAAACAGCAATTTGCTACTGGGGAGTTCAAAGGATTCTATTTTTTTTGGCTTCTTGTCAATTATTAAGTGTGTGCCTGAATAGAACATTTCAAATTTATTTTTTTCTTAATACTGTATTGTACTTGGTTACTAAAATATTACTATGCAATTCTATTTAAATCTCGAGCTACTAACCACAAATATAACAGAATGTAAGATTAATGAGGGTGGTAGTAGCTGATTTTCAGTTCCATTTCTGTGTACTTATATGCAATACCTAATGAATACATTTCAAGAGACAGTTATTACAGCTATAAAATTAATTACGATTCTGTAGGATCAAACTAGGCATAGCAAGAATTGACAAAAGTGAGATTATTTGTATAGCTTGAATGCATTGCAAAACACAGAGGTAACACTGAGGCAAGAATTTCTCAGTGTTCTCAATGAGAAACAGTGAATTTTCTGGTTACTTGATGCTACATTTAATTTCTCTAAAAAGAAAGCAAATTTAAAGAATAGGCTGGATAGTGTTCCCACTGAAGTAAGGAGAACTTCCAGGCTCAGTGGCTGTGTACATTAGTAACCTCAACTAATTTTGCTAGGTATTGCTAAAGGTAAGTGTGAAGTGTCAAACATGATTACATGATGCCTCGTTAATAACGCAGTGAAATTAGCTCCTGCCTGTACTGTTAGAAAGAAACTTGTACAAATGGCATTGATGACACTTATGATCATTGTGTGTCAGCTCATTCCCAGATAATCCTTAGTTTACAAACCAGGAGATGCCCTTTACAAACACTCCTCCTGCAAGCCCAACCTGAAGTTTGAGTTGGGTTTTTTTCCCTGAATGTAACATGTGCCTCAGGCCAAAGTTGCCTTCTACTTAAATCATTTGAAAATAAGCTAATTTCACTTGGGTTGCACATTGGGTGAATGAAGGACATGATTTAACTTTATAACTCAGTGACTTCAAAGCTCAGCTCAGGAGCCACTGACTGCACTGACCTGTGCTGTGCCACCAGAAGCAAAAATAGCAGCCAAAAGAAAAATCTTTTCACTGGGGTAAGAAATATCATACTGGACACGTATGAGAAGTAACATACACAATGAGAAGCTGCTATTTCTACACACACACACTCACACACACACTCACTCACTCACTCTCCCCCTCTCCCCCCCTCTCTGCAGAGCAGACACACACCTGGGTCCAGGTGGCTGTGCTGTGCCAGCCTGGTGGGTGCTGACTCCCAGTTTTTTTCCCTGTGGTTGTGTAAGCCTAGTATTGTGTGTGCTGATCCATAGTAGAACCAGTTAAACTATCTTAGTCTGGCATGACTAGTCACTTATCAGATTCCTTGATATTAACAGAGCTAGATTTTTCAACTCTGACTGCTGCTTTATACTATGAATGTAAGTGCAAAGCTAAGGAGAAGCTCCATGCTGACTGACATATCCTCTGCTTCACATATGGGACAGTTGAATCCTTGTGTGCCTTAGGAACTGAGTTTGAAACTGTACAAAGCTATTCATGTTCCAAAGATTAACTCGTGGGGTTTGTCTGCGCTGCAAAATATTCTGAATGTTTTCCTCATTCTGTGTGAAATCATCAGTTGAATTTGGAAGTGCCACCAACAGCTGGAAAATGAATAGGCAACTTGAGTCGTGCAGAAGCACTAAGGGCATATATCTAAGCTTATTTATACTGTTCACTGTGCAACAGATAATGTTTGAGTCAAAATTACTCATGTGCTCAGAAAACAGCTTGTGCTCCCATTTATAAATAGGATGTTGCTGATTGTTACACTTCTAATTTCATCCTATGGTTTTGTTTCCTTGGTTGACCGTATGACGTTAACGATGGTATCACCTCTATGTTTAATAATTGTGTATAAGCCAGAGTTTTCCAGCTAGATGCCTAACTGCAAGCAGTCAGATTCTGTGCTTCAGGTAATAAATAACTGTGTAAAGGAAGAAGTCAGGTCTGTAGTAATCAACAGAGTTTAAAATAAGCAGAGTGATTTTTCCTTGAAGTTTTATTCTAGGCTGAAATTTACCGTTCTCTGTAAAACAAATATAAGAGTACTTGCAGAAAATACATTTAGTAACCAACAGAAAGCTACTTACAAGGTTAGACACATTTATTGATACCTTGTGGGATCTTTGGCAGACAATGCTCCTACTGACAGCAAACCTCTGTTCTGTTTATCTTCACCTGCTCAGAGGAATATAATGTCAGGTGACAGAATAAACTAGTGAGGAGCAAGTGATCTATAGGATACAGGTGGCCTTAGTATTGAAGGATAAAAAAATAAGTTAAAAAATCAGTATTTCCATTGAGGCAGCAACAGCTCTTTAGAAATTCCTTTGCACATCACTGTCAGATGCAGTAGGTTATACCAAGATGTATTTCTCTTTTGGCTGTCTGGAGGGAAAAATTTGTTCTGTATACTTCAGTTTTATTTAGGATCAGGATGTTAATCAATTATTAGAAAGTTAGTTGTAGAGCAGTGGAAGTGTTCATTAGCATGACATGAAAATGTTCCTTAGCATGAATACCTTCAGGCTGTGAGAACAAAGTTATCTCACATTAAAAGGGTTTTAAGTTGTAAAAATGTTTTAAAATTAGGAACCCATTTGCCATTTAGTTCTCATTAAGCTGAGACATTTTGATAGATGGATAACTTTTGGATAATTCTCCCTCCAGACAACACAATGTGGTGAGGTGAACAGTTGCACCCTGCAGGCCCAATGGTTGTGTGTGCAGAACTGGGGCTGGGGGAACATGCATTGCTAGGAAGAGCAAATATAACCTACTCTCTGGTGTACTAACTCCTCCTCTGTGATCACATCCTGCACAAGAATTCTCTCCTGTGGCTGCAAGGATTGGTGATATAACCTCAGTCAGCACTGCACTTCTGAAGCTCACTCATATCAGTTATGCTTTTCATTAACTATAAATAAGGACTTTACTGCTGAGTTTGGATTCAACAAAATGCTTTTAAAATACAATTAGCATTTCAAGGGATAAAACCCGTTGTATGCTGATATAGATCAGAAGTGGGGCACTGTTTTCCAAACATGTTAACCACTGGTCTAGAAAGCAGATAGAGCATAGAACACGAAGAAAGCTGTGCGAGAGATGAGGAGATTGTCTGTAGTGGCTGATGTTTGTGATAGCAGGTGTTCAAAAGATGGTCAGAATGTTGAGCCTGGGGTTGTTGGTGTCAGCTGTGTGAAACTTTGCAGGCAGCTTGTGTTTTGGTCTTTTGCAATGAAACTGCATTTTTGTGGTGGTATAAGCTTTGTGATTTTACACTTTTTCACTCTTGAGTATTAAACAATCAAAATCAATGCAGATGTTTGGCTTTCTTCCTGTCCGGGGTGTTTAAGGCTGCACTGTCAAAGGATTAAGGTCTATAAATATTTTGTTCTAAGGCCTCTCGGAGTGATGAGTTAATTCTGGTTCGAAACATGAACATAATTTTTCATTCCAGCAAAGACATAACTCTTTCCTGTTTATAGAAGAACTAGTGGCAAGACAGGGCATCTTTTTTATTGGAACCACACACAACACAGTTGAACAAGCAGTGGCTCTTGAGTTCAACATCAGGTAGTGGGAGAGGCAGAGTATAAAGCAACACAGAAGGTGGATGGGACTCCTGGAGTTGCCAGCATCATATTATCCTTGGCTTCTGGGATTTGACCAAGGTAAGTCTCAACTTTTACCCTTTTCTAGCAAAGGAAACCATTTTATGTACATTTAGACTTTTAATGGAAAAGGATATATATTTTGTAAACAATACCTTAATATACTGTGAAGTTTATTTTTCTCTTTAGCCACAGACTTTATTTGTGATGAAGAAAATACTGTGCCTTTAACCCAGTTTTCTCTTGATTAAAGAAATGGGTCAGAATGTGAAAGAGTGAGACTTTCTGAAAAGATCCTCTACTTAAAATACACTGAGACAAAACACATAGTTCTCCAGTTCCTGCAAAAGAGGGGAAAATGTATCTGAAGCTACTGACTCAATCACAGCATATTCTGGAGATGGTTAAGTGATCAGCAAAATAGTTTCCACTGAAACTGGCTTCTGTCAGAAAAATAAGTTTTCAGGCTCCATCTCTGAGTGTTGCTGTTAAAGCTCTCAGTGGTGATGATCTGATTTCTCTGAAACTTGATGCATATCTGTGAGCAGTAAGGAATGGGACTCAATACACCAAGATTTCTCCTCAGTTTCCTGGTTTTGACACACGTCAGTTGTGATAACTTTTTTAAGATGCAATGACACTGGGGTTTTTTTTCAATGTTAAATTCTAGAAAGGAGTGCCCAAAATTAAATTGGAATAAAAGGTGTTTATTCACACTCAACATATTTAACTCGTTTTCAGGTTAAAACTCTTTTTCCTGATTTATCCCTACAACCAAATGTGATAAAATTAACCAGCAATCTGCCTAACGAAGAAGAGGTTTTCTTCAGCTAGGGAAGATTCTGGTTTTTGAAAGTTGTCTCTAGCTGTTGGGTTAGCACACACCACTAGTACTGGGTTTGATTTTCCTTTCCAAATTGCAATGTGAAGGTGGTGTGGCAGGGATTTACAGCTGGAGTCAAACCTACTTGTTAAACTACAGGCTGCTTTTCCAGGTGAGAAAGATAAGAGATGCTGAACCCTAATACAAGGTAGAATTTGCTTCATGTTTTATAACCCTGATAGGAAAAGCAAGTCACATCAACCAAAATGCCTCTGTCAGGCTGA